ATGCACAAGCCCTATAGCAAAACTAAAATAAATTTTAAAATAAACGAAATAAATAAGTTATTTGAATACACAATCCTCCAGAGAAGAAGTATAAATGGCCAATAAGCTCACAAAATGATGTTCGAGGGGCCAGCAGGTGGCATGGTGGTTAAGGTGTTGGACACACCCACATAGCTGACCATGGTTCGAGTCCTGGACCTGGTGGCTTGCTTTCTCACTTTCCCTCTTTGTCTCTCTGTGTCTCTCTCTGGTCAAACTAAAACTAAATGAATGAAGAAATAAAACTAAATAAATAATAATAAAAAAAAGATGTTCGACATCATTTATCATTAAAGGCAATCCAAAACTACAGTGAGAGATCATGTCACACCCCCAAGGCTGACTGTACTCGCAAAGATAATTACAGTGTTGGTGAGAGTGTGGAGACACGGAACCCTCATGGCTGGCTGGCGAGGATGTGCAGTGGTGTGGCGCTTTGGAGACCGTTTGACTGCTCCTCCCGTTATTAAACCTCGTTACCCTATCGCACAGAAATCCCACTCCTTGATGTCTACTCAAGGGGCATGAAAGCCTAAGTTCACACACAAATAAAAAAGCCTGTTCGTGGACGTTTATAGCAAACTTACTCATGACAAACCAGAAGTGAGAATAACTCAGATGTCCAACTGCTACGTGGGTCAACAGAACGACCCCACGACGGAGTCCTAGTGGGCATTAGCAGGGCGAAGTACTGGAGTACTCTGCGGCCTGGCCAAACCTGGCAGCATTATGCTACGTGAGAGAAGCCGGTCACGAAAGGCCAGGATTCCACGTGTGTGAAAGGCCCAGGGAGGCAAATCTGTGGATGGAAGGTAAATTAGTGGTTGCCCAGAGCTGGGGAGCGGGGACAAGAGAGAGGAGGTACAATATTTTTTCAGAGGGTGACGAAAATGTAAAACTAGATCGGGGACAAGAGAGAGGAGGTACAATATTTTTCCAGAGGGTGACGAAAATGTAAAACTAGACAGGAAAAATAAAGAAAATTAGATGACAGGTCATACCATTTTATAAATGTACTAAGAGTCCTTTGAATTATACACTTTAAGTGAGCGAACGTTATGACATGTAAATTCTATCTGAAATCGTATATTAAAAAAGAATGAATGAGGGCCAGCAGGTGGTGTGGTGGTGAAGGTGCCCGATTCCCACATGGCTTACTGCACGGTTCGAGCTCCTGACCCGACAGCATGAAAGTCACGCCAGGCGTGTGTGAGTGTGTGCGTAAAATCCCAAGAGGGGAATGGAGGAGAAGGGACTGTGGTATGACCATCCCCTCTGGGGGTTGATTTTTCACTTTCCCTCTCTCTGTCTCTCTCTGGTGAGTGTACATGCCCTATGGCAGAAAGCTAAAAAAAATAAATAATAATTAATAAAGTGAGAGAAATTGGAGGTGGCAAGTATAGATAAGTCTTCTAGAGAATTCCTTGAACTCACAGCGGCATTTATGTGTTTGTTTTTAAATGACCGGTCCATCAACACCTTCGTTGTAGCACAGGAGGAGTTTGCTCCGGATGGGGCTGAGGAAGGAGGTGCTGTTGTACTGCGCTGAGTTCCCAGTGGCTAGTTTGCCCAGGTGGTCCCCTGATCATGTGGGCAAACTCTCCACCTGGAATACGGAAGTTCAGTGGGCCAGTATCAACCCCCCCACCCCCCACAACACAAGGCTCTATACGGAAGTTCAGTGGGCCTCTATCAACCCCCCCACCCCCCACAACACAAGGCTCTGCTTCTCGCTTCAGCTTATTGATCACTTCTGTTGCTTCTTTCTTTTTTAAAGATTTTTTTTTATTTGTTTATTTTAATTTAACCAGAGAGGGATGGAGTGAGAGACAGAGGGAAAGTGGGAAAGCAAGCCACCAGGTTCAGGATTCGAACTGTAGTCGGCCAGCCATGTGGGAGTCCAGTGCCCTTAACCACCACGTCACCTGCGACCCCTTCCCTTTCGTTTTCTGTTGGTGTTATCCTGGTCCCACGAGGTAGAAGGAGGAAAGACAGCCTCTGCTCATCTATAAAGAAATACCTGTGTGTGTGAAGCAAAGAAGGCCAGGAGCCTGTGGGGAAACAGCAGGGAGTTGCCCAGAGGCATTTTCTGTAGCGAGGGAAGAAGAGAATAAACAAGGCTTCTGCCAGAAATGCCTGGAATGAAAGCACTTTCCTCAGCCCAAGGTCAGGCTGTGTGGACGCGTGGACAGGGAACCTGATCAGTTGTCCCTGTACTCTCCATGAAAAGCAGGTGGCTTTCTCTCCTCGGAACTCACCCCTGCTCATTCTACCTGCCTCCAGATTCAGAGCCCGGACACCAGCGTTAACTCCTCAGGGTGGCAACTGGCAGGGCACCCGGGAGCACCGTAGCTACCCGGTGTCCCTGGCCAGCAGAGGCATAGACTGCCTGGGCCAAGGAGAGGGGTCCCGTAACCAGACACCCCACCCCACCCCAGGAAAGAAAGCTGTGGATCAACCCTCCCAGGAGGCTGCCCACGCCTGCCAGCCACACCCTGGCTGCGAGGGCCTGCACATTCCTGGCTTGCGTCTTCCATGGAGTGAGACGGTGACCCTAGCAGAATTGTGGGGGAGCGCAACCACAGGAGGGAGAAGGTGCCTCCGCTGTCCTTATCCTGGGCCCAGGCTCCCCCCACAGGTGGGTGTTGTCTTCTCACCGCTCTTTGCCTCGGCTTGAATACAGCCATGCCTGGGCTCTGGGTCCGAGAAGGGGACTTGATTCTTGGCAGAAGAGAGTGGAGAGTGATCTCGTCGCCGAGTCTAGATCTGCCTGCGAGGCCCCGTCTTTTTGCTGTGAAACCACACCTCGATTCCTGCTCTTTCTCTGTGTCTTCGGGTCTTGGAGCTCACGCTCATGTCTTTCTGATCTTGGTCTTTTCACTCATCCCAGACTTATCCCTTTCATTTCACTGACCCTCTCACCCACCCATATCCATGAGGCCAGGAGGCAACAAAGACAGCCAGGGCCTTGGCTCCTCCTTTTTTCTTTTTTTTTTTTTAAGAGAGAGATTTTTTTTTTTTTTTTGCTATAGGGCATGTGTGCTCGCCGGAGAGACAGAGACAGAGAGACAGAAAGTGAGAAATCACCCCTGGGAGAGTGGCCACATTGCAGTCCCTGCTCCTCCAGTCTCCTCTCGGGATCTTGAGTACACATGCACACGCGCCCGGTGTGAGTTTTAAGCTGCCAGGTCCAAGACTCGAACTGCAGTCGACTACATGGGAGTCCAGCAAAGTAACCATTGTGCCATCTACTGGTCCCTCGGCTCCTTCTGAGGTGTTCTGTCCACCGAGGCTCTCAGACCCTGAGTCCAACGGCTAGGCCTCCCTGGCTTTGTCTGCTGGTCCTGGCCTTTATCTGCACTTGGACCAGACAACAATGTGGCCACCCTGGGTAACCCAGCCACCTGCCGAGCCTCAGAACTGGTGTTGACTCACCAACACACCAAGGAGCCTAGAGAGAGCACTCTCGTCATCCCACTGTCTCCCTGTAGCCCCATCTTACCCTTATCTACCTCTCCCGGACAGAACGCCCTTGGTCAGTGTTCCCCCATTCACTCCAGTGCTCCGAATTGTGCTTACAGACACAGGACTTGAGGCCAGCAGATGGCAAAATGGCTGTGTCGCTGGACTCCCATGTAGTCGACCGTGGTTTGAGTCTCAGACCCAGTGGCTTAAACTCATGCCAGGCATGTGTGCATGCATGCCTAAGATCCCGAGAGGAGAATGGAGGAGAAGTGACTGCAGCATGGCCATCCCCCCTGGGGGGTGATTTCTTGCTTTCTGTCTCTGTCTCTCTGTCTTTCTGGCGAGCGCATGCACTCTATAGTTAAAACCTAGGCTCTACTGACTAGCTGTGAGGCTTTAGAGAAGTGCCTTCACCTCTCTGAGCTTCCTCATCTGGAGAGTTGGGAATAATACTAGTGTCAATCTCATGACTTTGCCATTGCAAAATCAATCACTGAAATAATCTTCGTAAAGCCCTTAGCACAGAGACTTGAATGTTCATTGTAAGTATTCGGTATGTCTGCTAGTACTTTATTTTTAAAGGATCATTCATTCATTCATCATATATTTACTGAGCCTCATGCCAGGCATTGGGATATGAATGTCCCTCTTAAAAAGTTCTGCCCTTGGGGCCAGCAGGTGGCATGGTGGTTGGCACGCTGGACTCCCACATGGCCAACCACAGTTCCAGTCCCAGAGCAAGTGGCTTAAAAAAATCATGCTAAGCCCATGTGCATGGCATGCCCCAAATCCCAGGAGGAGAAGGGATTGTGGTGTGGCCATCCTCTCTGGGGAATGATTTCTCACCTTCCCTCTTCCTGTCTTTCTTGTTCTCTGGCAAGCACATGCAACCTATGACAAAAACCTTAAAAAAAGAAAAAAAAAAGAGAGAGAGAGAGAGAGAGAGAGAACTGCCCTCTCAAATGCAGAAAGAACCAGTTCATTCTGGTCCCGGAGCGCAGGGAGCTGAAGCCCATGGCTTATACCAAGGCAGAGGAGAGGCACTGACCACCAGGTGCTGCCCGAGAATGGTGGTGACCGTGCCCTCCACCTTCCCACTCTCTGTTAATACCACCGCAACTCCCTGGGTCAGGTGGGCACCCAAGGAAGAAGGCAGTTGGAGGGGAAGTGAGCAGGGAAACACCCTCTCCTTCTGCTTCCCTTCTCCGTGCGCCAGAGTGGCCAGGCCTCTGCCGCAGGAGGGTGGTCTCCTTCGAGGAGGCCTTGTCGAAGCTGTCTGGTCTGCCCCGGAAGTAGGAAGGGTGGCGGGGGTGGGGAGGCGGCAGGAATGTTCTCCTGGCCTGCTGCTCCGCGTGGCGGGTGTGCAGAGAGGAGGGCCTCTGGACATCAAAGGTTCCTTTTGTCCCTTTCCGAGTGGCAGGGCAACCCGCTGCTGGCGATGCTGGCCCTGACGTCACCCACGCCCGGCCACTGACCTCCCTCTGCAGCCAGGAAACCGGCTGGGGAGCGGCACGCACAGTCGCAGCAAACCTCAAAATAAAGAGGCAACTGCCTCTCCTCCTCCTCCTCCATCTCCCCCCAGTAAGTGTGTCTTTTCCTCTTGTTCTCGCTCTTCTTTTTTTAAGCCTCATGGAAGATTTGACTTGTAGATCAACTTTCAGAATGTAGGAGGTCAGAATGGGTGTCATCAGCAGAAAAATATGTACAGCTGATCTCGACAAGAAGAGGGACCCAGAGCAACAAGGCGGTGGTACCTCCTAAGCCCAGGGAGTTGGCAGCGTCTGGGCTTCAGAGGAGCCGACACCTCTGCGTAAGTGAAGGCCCACCTCTCCGCCACCCCACCGCTCGGTGCCCTTCACTGCCTGGTGCTGCCATCTTGCTCCCTGACTGACACCTGAGGCTTGGCGGCCCCGGCCCAGAGGGGGGAGTTGGCACTGTGTTTGGGAGACCCTCAAAATACAGTCCCAAAGGGATCTGATCTCTGTCTTCTCCCCAGGACCAGCCGAGAACAAAAACAACCAAACCCTGGGGAAATGGCCCAACGGGTGCCTTTCCCGTCAACCCTCTCTTCTGTCTCCTCTTCCTCCTCTGGCAGAGAACTCGGTTTCAGCCCGCCAAAATGTTTGTCCGTAGTTCTAGACCGGTTGCTTCCTGGATCTCACACGAAGTGATCGAATGTAAAAACACACCCTGTCCTGGGCAAATACATGTCCCGAGCCGTGAAATAGGCTTTGCACTCTTTACCTGGTGAAAGATGGCAGCCTCAGTCAGAAAACGTCCCCAGCCCTGCTGCCTGTGGAGCGCGTCCCTGGTCGCGCTGGTGTACCACCTCCAGCGTCTCGCTAGGCTGTTGGTAGAGGGCTTGTGTTCACCCCTGCTGTGCATGGGAGAGGGGGTTAAGTACAAAGATCGCATGTCTGCTTTAACTCTGTCTAAAAACGCTTCGGTCTTTGCACGGTCTGTAATTTTAAAGGAAACGATTTTCACACATACACAAGAACTGCAGAGTACACAGGCACCACAATCATACCCTGATTTCCCTGGCTTCTGAAGTCATCCTGCGTCAGCATCTGGTCTGAGGAGCCTGGCTGAGCAGATCTGCCCCTCACAAATTCTATGTTAAAATGATCAGGAAGTGTATTTCAAAAAGAAGTCTTCTTTTAAAGGCAGTAGGGAAACGTGTCAATTGCTGGAGATAGCGGTGCATTCCTTTGTAAACCGACAACGTCCTTCAGACATTTGCTAGCACACGCTAACGTGTCTGCTTCGTAGGCCCTGCGTTTCACTTTTCTGTTTTATTTTACGGCACCAGGTTCTCTCGAAGTGAAGCTCTGCTGTACGACTTTCCTTCTGGCTGCAAGACCGGAACACTGTGGCCACTAATTTGGTGAGTGTCCCTGGTCCCTTGTGGTTGCTTGAATTTAAGTCTACTACTTCTACTTTTTTTGGTTTATAATAAGGTTTAGAGAAAGAGGGAACGGGCACAGAGTCTCCCGAACCGAGTGATAACAGCAGGATCAAAGAGGACACAGGCTGATTGCTTTAATAGACCCCAAATGTAACTGGCTCAAACACGGGACTGTCTGCCTTCCCGTGTATCGGCACAGGCCGGTGGAGCAGCTCACGCATGCATTTATCTGAGACACAGGTTAAGAAGGGCCCTGCTTTCTGCTCCATGTGGCTTTTGAGGTTACGGGGGCGTCTTTCCTCCTCCGAGGAAATAAAAGAGTGTGAAGCGCACTTGGGAGGTTTCTCATGGCCCATGCCTAGAAGTAGTGTATGTCACTTCCACTCACATCCCATTGGCTAAAATGCAGTCACGTGACCACACTGGCTGCAAAGAGGTCTGGGAAACGTAGTCGCCAGTTCGACAGCCACTTCCCAGGGGCAAGTCCGGAGAGAGTTTCCGGAGAAGAGATAGTTGTGTTTGCCACGGCGCAGGAAGGAACTTGGAAGTGCTCAAGGATGAGGCTGTGGAGTGAGCCGTGGGAGAAGGAGGCGAGCGTTAGATGTTAGAATTCCTGGCACGTTCAGGTCACGTCTGGGCATGTGGTCGAGGAGCAGTGCTGAGAGTTCTCAAGATGCCTTTGTGCTTGCTGACCCTGAGCCTTTAGGCGAGCACCATCATGCAGCCAGCGGCCAGTGAGCCGGAAGGACGTGCTTCCCCACACTTTCCTTCTGGCGGCCTCTCGGTCTCGGGCCGTCCTGGCTCTGTCCCCTGCTGTTGGATCTAGTCAAGAGTTCTGTTCCCCAACTGTGAACTTACAGCCAAGCTCAGGAGCTGTCTGCCACTGGGGGCTTTGGGAAGTGATCCCACCTGATCTGCTCCAAGTCTTGCGACACTTCATGAGGGAGGAGAATTCCCCAACTAAAGGACTTTCAAACCAAGTTATTAGAGAAACATTGAAATGTACAGTAGTCTCGGGACCAGCAGTTGGCGTACTGGCTACGTCGCTGGACTCCCACATGGCTGACCACGGTTTGAGTCCAGACCTTAGGAGCTTTCTCTCTTTCTCTCTCTCTCTCACTCTCATCAAATTGAAGAATAATAATAAATTTAAAAATAAAATAATTTTAAAAAGTAACACAGTAGTTTCTTGGGACCAGCAGATGGCATAATGATTACATTGCTGGCCTCCCATGTACTCAGCTCCAGTTTGAGTTCCAGAACCAGCAGCTTAAAACTCAGGCTGGGTACGTGTGCGTGCATGCCCTAAATACTGAGAGGAGAGCCAAGGAGAAGGGACTGTGGCATGGCCATTCTTCCTGGGGGTGATTTCTGTTTCTGTCTCTCTGTCTTTCTGCCAAGTACTCACACCCTACAGCAAAAAACTCTCTCTCTAAAAAAAAATACAATTATCTCCCCCTTAACTGCAGTTGAACTTTCCTTGCCCCACAGCCACCTGCAGTACCAAACTATTAAATAGATCATTTCAAAAACGAACAAGCCTGGGGTCGGCAGGTAGCATGGTGGTTGAGGGCTCTGGACTCCCACATGGCCAACCATGGTCTGAGTCCCAAACCTGGTGGCTTGCTTTCTCATGTCCCCTTCTCTCTCTTCCTCACTCTGTCCCTCTCTAATCAAATGAAATACATAAGTAATTAAAGTTAAATAAAATAATTCTTAAACAAAAGGACCAATCCCTAACTTATCAATTCTGGGTAGTGTGGTGAAATCTCGTGCTGTCCACTTCATGCTGCCTGGGCGTGAAGCATCCCTTTGGCAGCGTCCGCACGCCACGCCGCTGCCTGCCCGTTAGCCACTTCGTAGCCGTCTCGGCCATCAGGCCGGCAGTTGCGGTACGGCTGTGCTTGTGTTCAGGTAACCCCGTTTTGTTCAGCAGTGGCCTCGGAGTGACAGGGTCGTGATGCTGGCAGTTTACATCTGCTGAAAGGAACAGGCACAGTGGGATGATGTCAGTTCTCAAGCTAAGAAGGAAAGGAGAAGGATTATGTGCTGAGGCCTGGGTAGGGTGTGGTCCTGTCAGTGGTTTCAGGCCTGCACGGGGGCCTTGGAAGAGGTCCTCCGTGGATCAGGGGAAATACTGGAGCCTAAGGAGACCTAGGCTGGGGCTGCTATCCTACCCTAAAGGATTTGGTACAGATCCCAGCTTTTTCTTTTCAGGACAAGTTTAAACCATTTCCTGAAATAACAAGTAGTAAAGTTTTTGTTTTTGTTTGTAGAGGAGAACGCATGCACTGGCCAGAAAGACAGAGAGAGAGACAGAGAGACAAAAAGCGAGAAATCACCCCTCAGGGGATGGCCACGCCACAATCCCTTCTCCTCCGTTCTCCTCTTGGAATCTTGGTCAGGCATGCAATGCACCCAGCATGAGTTTAAGCCACCAGGTCTGGGACTCGAACCGCGGTGGACTGTGGGAGTCCAGCGACATAGCCATTATGCTAATTGCTGGTCCCAACAAGTAGTAAAGTTGTAAGCCTAGTTTGGAGGCCCCTTCCGTAGTTTTATATTGTATGTGGCCTTGGTACAGTACTCCCCTTGCTGGGAAATACCAGAAACTATACGAAGGTACCTTCTGATGCCCCTAATTTAAAGGCCTCTGATAAGCGTGGACTGGAGTCGTTACCTCAGTTGCCTAGCATCTCGTTCTGTGCTGTTGTCATCAATATTTAGCTAATGAATTTTGCCCCTGGACTTGACATTTTTGGCACCCACGTCCACACCCTGAAGAGTGTGTTGTCTATTGTGTGGGAAGGCCAGCTACTGGCCAGTTTGACACAGCCTCTCTGATCTCCAACAGAAGCTGATCCCTGGCCCACTCTCCTATGACCCCTGCCTAGCCTTTGCCAGTCCCCTCTTAGTGGGCTAAGAAGGAATGGAATAGAATAACAGGTGATTTGTCACAGAAATATGTCATCCTCTGAAAGTCCTTTTCCTGGGTTGTTGGGGAATCAGAATTCTGAGCCAGGAGCTGGCTGGGCTAGCAGAGTAAGCTAAAGATAAGACCAGGTTGAATGGTGGAATACAGTGTTTGCTAGAAGGATGTAGTCAAAGGAATAAGGTGAGAACCAGTGCGGGGTTTCAAGTGCTAGAACCAGTCAGGGACGATCTATTGCTGCAAGTTCCAATCTAACAGAGTCTGCCAGGAAGGGCAGAGCCAAAGGCCGCTGACAAGGAGGAAAGCTGTCAGGGGCATTCTTTGTCTAATCACAGCATGTTAATTTCCACTGCCACCAGTATGTTAATTTCAACTGCCACCTATGGCTCCTCAAAGTACTAAGTACACAGAGGCTGACATGCAAGTGGTAGGATTGGGGGGCAGGGGTTGACCTCTTGTTTCCATTTTTCACCATATTGTATGGTGGAAGAGGTGTATTACCACCAAATCAGGTAGACGGAATTTCATTACTGCCGATGGTTGATGTCCCGGGTCCCTAGGACTGTTAGCACTGTTAACCCAGCATGCTAGGCGACCTCACAGACACCAGCAAGGTAGAATTGTGTACAAACACACATTTTGTAAGTATTTAGGTATTTAACATTTTCCAAAAAAAAACATCAAAGTGGGGGCTGTCAGGTGGCATGGCGACGAAGGGCACTGGGCTCCCACGTGGCCGATCGCGGTTTGAGTCCTGGACCTGGCGACTTGCTTTCTCACTTTCTCTCTTTCTCTCTCTCTCTCTCACTCTCTCGCTCTGTTCCTCTCTGGTCAAATTAAAATGAATAAATAAATACATGAAGTTAAATAAAGCAATTCCATTTTTAAGAGTTATTTTATTTAACCTTATTTATTTATTTTAATTTGCTCAGAGAGGGACAGAACAAGAGAGAGAGAGACAGAGAGAAAAAGCAAGTCACCAGGTCTGGGACTTGAACTGAGGTCAGCCATGTGCGAGTCCGGAGTCCTTAACCACCATGCTACCTGCCAATCCCCCAATAATATAATTCTTTAAAAGAAAATCAAAGTGAACATCATGGGGAAAGTTAGACTTTTCTTGAGCTTCCTTAGGTTTAATTTTGCATTCTGCTGGTTTTTCGCCCCATTTTAATTACACCTGATGGGTGAAACTCAAATTTGGGCACCATAGTTGTTCCAGAGCTTAGTTCATCGGAAGACCTTCGCCTAGCCTTGCCGATTCATGAAGAGCAGAGGTGGATGGAGTGCCGGGGCCCAGACCCAGTTGCTTATTTTAACCCGAGAGGTTTTCTTGTTGTCACAACCCGGAAGTGCAAACTCCCTTCTCCCCGGGCCACCATTATGAGCATTCTCTTACTCCCTTCAGAGGGTTTTGCAATAAGACCACGTCACATTCACCACGGGTAAGAATTCATAGTAAGAGAGCTTCGTAATTTCTCATGTTGAAATCCCCTAATTTCTTGTCGAGCACCAACTTGGAAAACACCACACTAAAGGCTTCAAGATTTTGTTTTTAAGTCAAGAAGCCTCTGGTTTTCATCAGAACTTTAAAGCTTCCCCCTGCCTCCAAACTGGCCCTTAAAAAAAAAAAAAAAAGTTCTGCAGAGACTGTGTCAATAAGTAAGGTTATATGCGCAAGCAGTTTGGGCAGCTCAGAAAACCGCATGACAAATCAATATGTCGATGAAAGTCATTACTGTAATTAGGTCAGGGTTGGTGCTTTGACTCCTGACAGTGCTATTCATTTTTTTTTTTAAGTTTATTTCTTCTGTAAGAAAGAGAGAGAATGGAAAAGAGAAATTATCCTCAACAGGGTGTTCACACTGTGAACACCCCAGCCTCAGCCAGCCAGGATCACGGGCCTGCTGGGAGGGTGACCTCAGGACAAGGACCTGAGACCTTCCCACGTGAGTTCAGTATCAGTGTTGCATCACCGCCATGCCACTGAGGCTGCTCCTGCGATGAATGTTTTAAATATCATTATTTTCCAAATTTTTCAATCTTTCTA